GATTGTGCTTAAGGGTTCAAACTTGTTTAATCTATTCATATTACGAGTTGTATTTCATTGTTATATGAAAAAAAAAAATTGTTATTTGATGTCATATCCATGTATGTTATGAGTTTCTTTTCATTTTGAACTCAGTAAGTTGATACATATATAATTGCTTCATGTTGATTTAAGATTAGCCGCAACATCTTAAGTCTATGAAGTGTGTGCTATAATCACGTAAGGAGTTCAGTTTAAAAAAAATGAAATAAGGAATGAGGCATCTACAAATTACAGTAATCTAAATAGCCACTAACTTAACCTGACCTGGAACATCAACGTAGACACCCGAATTGTGATGCTGGCTGACACCTAGAAGATGGCAAAGCCATAAAGTGTAGTGATGTGAAAAATGTGAATAAATTAAAACCTAAAAGTGACTAATTAGAGTGCGCATGTGAGTGAGATTGAACCCATATCACACAAGTGATGTCACATCATAGATAAAGTGCAGTAAAAGAAGAGTAAGGACATTTATACTGAAAAGAGAAGTCTTCTACATAATAGCTTTTACTAGCAACCCTCGTCATCACGAAATCTCTGCCACTAAAATCCTGGAGGGGCAAAAAAAACAAGGGTGAGTGGGCCTAAAAATTAAAGTTTTGTAAACCGTTTTCGAAAACGTGTAACCCTTCGCTGTAAAACAAGTATAAAGTTTCTCGAAAATATTATAATACTAGCATGTAATATACAGTACACTGCAGCAGAAGTGGTCAAAAGATGTAGGGTACAACAATAAGGTATCTCAACATTAAATCTCAAATCATTATTACAAGAAATCAGTGCTCATTAATTTATGTAGTCCATTGCAGAGATATTCAGACAATGGAACAAGCTGGGTTTAGGTTTTACATTCTAGTACTACATCACGTGAGCTGCACTAGTCGCATCACATATGAGTTCAAATCATCAAACAAAAGGACAGGCTGGCACCTAACTCTGGATCTGAAGCGAATGTAAACGGTACATGTGAACTACACCTGAAGTTGGTCCTTGGCCCAGGGCACTACAAATAACTAAGAGACACCATGCAAACATGCAATAATGAGCAGATAAAATACAAGTATATCATGCCACAAATTTATGCTCACGAATAATATTAAAAACATAAAGTATATGAAAGTCTATTTGTAACACTAAACATAGCATGTCACATCTTAGCAATAAAAGCAATTGTCGGGAAAAATCACACACACACACACACATATATACACACATAAAAACGAAAAGACCCACTCATAGGTACCTGCATATCGTAACCGTCTAACTATTCTGCTCATGGTACACCTTCGGATGGTCCTCTTCTAAACAGAAAATTACTACACTAATCATTAAAGTAAAAATAATTAATGTAATAAGCCTATTCCCCTTAGTTTGCACAAAAACAAGATTTTCGTTGGAAATTTGGGAAGAAATTCAAATGCCTCATTTAGAGCCGTTACACAACTAAATTTGACCCACAATGTATCAAAACAAAGCTTAGGACGAGATGAATAAAATTATTCCTATTTCAAGGTCACACGTTGGCCAGAGCTGCTCGAAAAAAGCCTAGAATCTATTGCCTGACTTGGAACCTTTAGAACAGAGGGGATTTGAGCATGCAAGCTCAAACCTGTGGTCTAGGGGTTGTGGGGAAAATGCCCTATGCCTTCAACTCAACCAAACCAACTAGATTTGGCCAGGTTTTGAACGGGAATCCTACAAACTAGTCGAAAAAATGGTGGATTAGATATTCATCCCTCAAATGCACTGAAACATACATGCATGCTAGTAAAACTTGAGAAAGAGTTTAGTGGTGGAAATCCTAAGCTTACCATGGTCAGAGGAGTGATTATTTTGTAGGCAATCGTCATGATACACAATGAGGTTTTCGTTTTTTTTTGAGTTTTCTCACGGTCAAATAGTGGGGAACAAGTCCCAGAGGCTTTAGGTGATTTTTGATTGAGTTTGGGGAGTTTTGGAGATGGTATGATGGCTGCTTAGGTAGTGCCGAGAGGAAGAAGAAAGTGCAAGGAGAGGAAGAGCTGCATGAGAGAGTTAAGAGAAGAAATGAGAATGACTGAGTGAGAGAGTGGGGAGTGCACGGGGCAGAGGGATAGAAACATAGGGAAGAGAAAAAGTTGAAAATATAGAAATCAAAAGAAATGAATGCGGATTAATGTGAGAGAGAAAAGAGAGGTAGAGAGAGCTAAAGAGACGTGGGAACCGGCCAAAAAGAAAGAAAATGATGATGTGTGCGATGAAACAAGTGTGGGTTTTCAAAACCCAAAATAAATATTATTTTAATTCCTACTTGTACACTAAATGAATCAAATATCATGTATGGTCTGAACATAGCCTGTTTAAGGCTGATTTAAGCTTAAATAATGGCCTCACTCTTGTTACAAGCCGAAGGAAAGGCAACTCAGAGATTAGTAAAGGTTATGGAATCTGACCCAGCAACAACTCCAGCAAGAGTGGGCTCTAAAGAATGAAAAGACGTATGTATAAAGTATAAGTACTTATTTCTTATGGACAGTTGAAATCCGGTAAGAAATAGGCGCATATCGGCTTTCTTTAGTAACAAATTTTTAGGTCATCTAGAAACTGGAAACTCCCACGCCAGTCTAAGGTGCACACTGCATGAGAAAATTAGAATTTATCTCAGGTAAATTTACACTGTTTCAAACATAACTTGTTTGTTATAGCTCCGAATTGAGTTCCGTCTGCGGCCATGTCCCGTAAAAATGAGTTCTATTCAAAAATAGTAAAATAAGAGTGGAAAAGTGAAGGGAAAATGAGTCAACGTGGAAGGCCTATGTGGCATTTCAAGGGTATTTTAATAATTTCACTACTATTGAGAATAAAATACCATAAATCTTGGAATGGGATGTGATAGCTACTCTACTTGCAGGAAGTAATTATTTAATATTAGTGAAAAGCAAAATGGCAATCTAGACATATAAGTGTTAGTTTTCCTATTCCCACATGTATGGATTTTTGGTTTTGATGTCTTGATTACCTTCAAGCATATGTAAATTCCTGTGTTATACAACCTCTACCCACAGGAAGGTGTGAATTTACATTTCAAAAGCATGATTTGTTTGTTTTTTATTTGGTTTGCAATTATCTCTTTTGATTCATCTCATGTTCCAATGTTGTGTAGTGACAATTTTTCTGATTGGAAAGACAAAGTCCTGTTGGCTTTAGGGTGCATGGATCTCGACCTTGCTCTTCGTGGAGATAAACCACCCTTGCCCACAGAATCAAGCACTCAAGAAGGCAAGGATGCGTATAAGTGCTGGGAGCGATCTAATCCCTTAAATCTGTTGCTCATCAAATTCAGTGTGAGCAAGAGCATTCGGGGTTCAATCTCAGAATGTGATAAGGAGACAGATTTCATGAAAGCCATTGAAGAACAATTTATGAAGTCTGATAAAGCACTTGTTAGCACCTAGATGCAGAAACTTTCAGACATGAAGCACGGCAATTCTAAGAGTGTGCGTGAGCATATTATGGAAATGAGGGACATTGCAGCTCAACTTAAGTCCTTACAGATAAAGATTTCTAAGTCATTCTCAATTCCCTCACTCTTGAGTGTGGACAATTCAAGATTTCCTATAACATATATAAGGAAAAGTGGTCTTGGAATGAACTTTTGACCATGTGTGTTCAAGAGGAAGAGAGATTGAAACTTGAGAAATTGGAAACTGCTCTTCTGGTAATTAATGAGCATTAAGGTGCTAAGAAGGGTAAACATTTTCCTAAGGTGAAAGGAAAGAAACTGATGAAGCATTTTTCCAACAAGGATGAATGCTTTTTCTGCAACAAGAAGGGACACAAGAAGAAGGAATGCACCAAGTACAAGAAATGACTGGAAAAGAAAGGTACTCTATTTGCGTATGTGTGTCGTGAATCTTATTTTGTTGAGTCTCCTAGTAATACATGGTGGATTGACTCTTGTTCTTCAATTCACATTACCAATGTCATGCATGGATTCCTAAACCACAAGAAGCTGAGGGGCAATGAGCAATACATCTACTCAGGAAATCAGATGTGCTTCAGTGTTGAAGCAGTGGGGACTTTTAGAATAAAATTAGCATATGGTTTTAATTTAGATTTGGGAAATGTCTTTTATGTTCTGTCTTTCTCTAGAAATTTAATTTCAGTTTCAAAGTTGGTACTTTGTATTTTTAAGGTTTGCTTTGACAATCCAATAATAAGTTTAGTTAAGAATGGTTTGAGTATTGGTGATGGCATTTTATCAGATGGTTTATTTGAAATGAATTTAGACCTCACGCATGAGTGTTATCTTTCAACAATGTCTGACAATGTTGGTACTAAATGATGTATTATTAATGAAAACTCCCCAAAACTTTGGCATAAAAGAATAGGTCATATCTCCATGGAGAGAATCAAGAAATTAGTAAATGATGGAGTCTTGATGACTTTAGATTTTACTGATTATAGGACTTATAGAGATTACATTAAGGGAAAGCAAACCAACAAGTTTTCTAAAGGTGCCAAAAGGAGTTCGGATTTACTTAAGATCATACATTGATAGGAGCATATTTAGGCGACTTACTTAGCTTGTTTTCGTGCATCTATGTTGTTAATTCATAGTTGTTTTAGTAGTTTAAGCCATTTTCGTGTGTTTTTAGGTTCATATGGCTAAGGAAGCAAAAAGATGCATTTTGGAGCATTTTGGAGCAAAATTAGGCTTGGAATGGATAGCATATGCTTGGAGCCAAAGTGTTGGACGAATTTGAAAGCCTTGTATGCACTTTGGACATAAAACAAAGGGCCTAGCCCAATCAAACAATCCTTTGAGCCATGCAAAACCTCTAGCCCAATCAACAACCCTTAGCCACACTTGCACATGCATTCCCACTTTCCTAGTTGTCATCCACATGCATTCACACACACTTCACACAAACAAACACCCCATGCCGTGCATCTCCACAATCCCATTCATCAACACATGCACACGGGTCGTCCGGATCTGCCGCTGCATGCCTGGATTTCCAAAGATAAGTTCTTTTTTTTTACTGTCAGCTTAGATTGTCATCGTTTCTACCTTTTGATTGTGGATTATTTTTTATTTTTTTAGTGTGTTAGGTCAGGTTTTGGGGGATTCATCAGAGATATTAATTTCCCTTATTTGTTTTGTTTTCTCTCATTTTAGACATTCATCTCTCTTTCTGTCTGTTTATTCTCTGTTTTAAGGTCGGTTGCTTTTTTTTTTTATTGGGTTTTTTTTGTGTGGCTTTTTATTTGTTTTTCCAGGTTATAGATCTGATGGTTTTTTGTATACCAATCTTGGTTTTGTTTTTCCTAGAAAATTGTTTTTATCTGATTGTGGGTTCGTGGGTTTTAATTTCTTTCATTCGTTTCAGGTTGCAAAGCAGGAGGTTTTGACTTGAAGGTTCAGCTCAAGGTACCGTTATTATTATTTTTAGTTCTTATAGTTTAATGTTTCGAACTGATGTGATGATTTGGTTGTGAAATGTGGGATTTTTGTTCGGCTTATGTTGCCTATGTGATGTTCTTTGTTTTTATTGCTGGGTAGAGATTCCATATATTCTAGGTCTCTAGAAAACACCTCTTTAGTTCTACGAGAGGAACTAATTAACACATTTTTCCTGAATCTCATAAGCCTGCAAGAAGCAAAACAAGCTAAGAGTCATTTATACAATATAAATGCATGAACTCTGTTCGAATTCTTACTCTTATTCTCTCTATTTTTTGGCTGTTTAGTTTGGACTCCCACGCATCGTCATCATTTTGGTATGCATATGTGGTTCTTGGTTTGAAGAACAAAAGTTACTTTTGTTTTGAAATTGCAATTTAGTGCTATTTGTGTATGTCTCTGGTTGCTCTTTAGGGAGTGAGTGAGGGCACACAATAAGCAATCATGGGATGCACTCCATGCTGTTCTAGGAGAAATGAGAAAAAGGGTTTTATTTTCTTTACCAAGGAGAAATGAGAAAAGGGTTTTATTTTCTTTGCCAATCTCTGCAAGAGTTCTCAACTTTATTAATTTTTCTACACTTTGTAGGTTTGAGGCGGTGCGAGAAGAGGCCAGACATCAAACATGGAAGCTTCACTAAAGAGGAAGACAACATTATCTGCAACCTCTACAACCAGATAGGAAGCCGGCAAGTAAACAAATTTAAATGGTTATTTTTTTTTTAATTTTTTAATTTATAATCTGCAACATTTAATTCCTTTACATGATTTTGTCTAGAATTCGTTTAAAGATTTAAAATTTCTCTCCACTCTGTTAATGGGTTTGATTTTTCCCCATCTGTTTTGCAGTTTGAGTCTACTGAGTTTTGCGGATTCACTCAATTGCAATCATCTCTTCTGCAATTAATCTCTACCTTCATTGTTAGATGTATTAATACTTGGAATGTGGTTGATCATATTGCCATCTGTTTTGCAGTTGGATGTATTAATACTTGGAATGTGTGTGATCATATTGCCAGTGTTTGCTTATTTTTTTACAGCACTTACACTGTGAAGTCAATGAAATCGGGTTCCTTTTGTCTAGTTTATAAAATTTCATATCGGCGCAGAAGTATGAATCATGATAATTTTATGTTTGTGCTGAACTGTTAGAGGCTACAATTGTTTTTATGTGAAATCATTTACTTTCATCATAATGAGTTTACTTCTAGGACAGTGCAACCTTTAAAGGGAAAGGATACATTCAGACCAAAAAAAAAAAAAAATGGGAAGGGATACATCCATTCTTTTGTTTAAGATCAAAACTATTTATTAGTCATATTTATAAGCAAGTGTTTATATTAGGAGGTGGTATGTTGACTAAGCTTTTCAGTTAAAAGGTGGAGGTGTCTTTGAGGTTTAATACAATACATAGGTGGATTCTTTAATATTAGATTAGATTTTCAAAATTTTTAGTACGTTAGGTCCGATTTTGGGGGATTCATCTCTCTCATTATTCCTTTATTTGTTTTATTTTCTCTTATTTTGGGTATTCACTCTCTGTTCTGTCTGTTTGTTCTTTGTTTTAAGATCAGTTGCTTTTTTTTTTTGGGTTTTTTTTTGTGGGTTTTCAGTTCATTAATTTGTTTAGTTGTTGTTAATTTTACAGTTTAATTGTTTCCCCTAATCTGGATTGTTAGGTTTTGAACCCTTTTTTTCCCAAAATCCACATGAACTGAGCTTTAGTGCTTAAAGGAGACCTATGTTTAATTCTGTGCCGGAGTTTATAATGTATTTAGATTGGGAACACAATCTTCGTTGAATTGTAAGTTTTTATCCACTTTTGCATTTTTCCCCTTCAATGGTTTCAATTAATTGTTGTTAGTATAACTATTGCTCTCTAAGCTGTGAAATTAGGTGTAAGAAAATATTTTTTGTACTTATATGGAATTGTTGATTTCCATGGAAGCTAAGTATGTGTGTAATTGTATTGGGGCTTTTGGATCTGTTGGCTTTTCTGTTTTGATCAAAATTGTTGATTTCTTTTGTGGAATTGAGTTTTAGCCTCGAATCGGAGACGTGGGTGCTTGAGAACGTTTAATTTTTACATGCATTGTAAAGTGTTTGTAATTGTAAACATGTTTGAATCTTATACTTTCTATTTTTTTTTTCTTTTTTTGTTTGCATTTTTTAGGCAAGCAAAATGATGTAAACTGGCGATTTATGGTGGCTTTGAAAGGGTGACTTGCTCTTACAAAGTTCTGGAAGATAAACTACTTTGGAGCCAGTAGCACTCAGTTGCCAGAACAGCGGCCTTTCTCTCCCTTATCGGAAAATGGGTGCTTTCAAGGTGAGCCGCAATGCTCTTAATTTCAAGTAATGGGTTTATGTTACTCTGCAGATCTGCCGAACTTCGCATTTAGTTTCTTGGAATTGTTTTTTTTTTTTTTCAATTATATATTTTAGTGCTATTATGTTTGTTGTTCAGTGCTGGAAAATTGGAAAGCTCTGGAAACAATATAGTTTTTGAGCTAATGTGAAGATTTTGGGTTGAATACTTTGATTCTGTTTTTCTATTTGCACTTAGAAAAACAGAGGATTGTGGTTAATTATTGTGATGTGAAGATTATTCATGGTTTGAAAACCCGCAGCAAAGCGCGGGCATTCTTGCTAATTCTATTCCTAAAGCACAATCTCACCCAATCCGCCTAATGGGTTGTAGAAGTTCGTCATTCTACCCAATCTTTAAATTTTGTTTTTTATTTTAAGTTCTATTGTGGGGGCCCAACAGCTGTATGTTTAATAGATTTGTCATTTGTGTGAATAAATAAACAATGTTTTTTAGTAAGTATGTGGTCCAATATCTTAGTAGATATGATGTGAGATTCATGTACATGCATTCTGAGCTCGAAACTCTCCCTCTCTAAATTAGTGTATAGTTTCGAAGTCTCTCCCTCTCTTTATTAATAGTAAAATTTCAAAAAAAAAAAAAAAGAATAAAATATATTTCCGAGCCCAATTTGCTCAGGTCCCTACAGTTATAGTTTACGAATTCAATTGCTACTTCCATTTGAGACAATTTTATCTAACGTGGCATAGCACATATAGTTTACTACTCTTTTGCTACCTCCGTCGGAGATGTTAAGTATTATTTGACCAACGTTATGTTGCAATTTAGGAAATATTTTTGCTCACTAATCATTATTATAAACTATGATGTATGCTTATCATACATCAAATCATTTGCTACATGTCTTTTCATTTAATCTTAGTTAAATTTTTCAATGTTCAAATGTAACATTTAATATGAAAGTTAATTAGAGTTAGATGAAACGGCATGTGACAGATGATTAGGTGTATGATGAGTATACACAATAGTTGTGGTGGTGAGCAAAAATGCTCATTGCAATTTATCAACTTTAAATTTCCTAGCACTAAATATAGATAATAGGCTTATTAGAAAGAAAGAATATTTAATCAAAAATATATTTACAAAAACGAGAAAAATGTATTCCAATTGACTAGCAATCTCTTTTTGAGTCAAATTTTTATGACCAATAATATTAAGTAAGAGGTCATATATTCAATTCTTGTCATAGGCAAATTTGAAACATATTATTACTAGCCTATTGTGAGCTTAACGTACACCCCATACTCTTAGTATAGATAATATCGTTTGTTCAAAAAAAAAAAAAAAAAAAAAAAAAAACTCAAAGCCTTAATCTTTATGCTTGTGGAACGTACTAGTAGACAACTCTAATTTATCAGAGGAGAAAAATCAAGCTTGGAGCCTTGCTTTTGTATTTGGGCATTCAGTCCCTTGAAAAAATTGCCATGGTTCAATGCCTCAAGGGGTTTTATACCATATATCCATTTATCGTGTAGAGAATTATTGTATTAAGTTAATCATTAAGAATAAATGGCTATTAATACAGAAAGCATTTTATAAACGTAAAAGAAAATAAAAACCAAAAATATAAAATCAAAGAGGAGTATTACATCACTGAGCAACCAAAGGCATGCAGTTACCGGACAACCTACCGGACCTCTTCACGAAGTTAATATCAAAGTTTACCTTTTAGAATCTTGTTTAAGAAATCGGTATATGTAAATTGTCTGATTGGCAACGCTTGTAGTTCTCATTTGAAAGTTTGTCAGACTCAGTGGGAGTATTCAGAAGTATACGTACTTGACCTGAAGGTACTCCTTTTTCTAGGAGCATTTTTCCCATTGGGTTTTTACTACTTGGTTAGGTTTTAACGAGGCACCTATCCTAGACTAGTCATATCCTTGTGTGCTTTACTTGCATCCCGAAGATCTTTAGTTTTGACTTGATTTAAGTTCTCATGTTTCTCCTTGGACTATGGGTTTTATCCTACCATAGTGTTTTTTTTTTTTTTTTTATCACAGCGGGGTTTTTTGAGTTTCATCTTTTATGCATTACTTCTGCTTGTTTGAGACTCACATATGCTCGTTGCGTCGACTAGACTCGACAACTTCATCAATGGCTTCTACATCATCTATAAGGATCTGATACGACAACTACTTGAGTATTTATACATTCAAGGGGAAGTTTTGTGATATAAATTCTAGCACAGGTGTATTGTATAATCCTTGGTAGGTTTGGTTTACTTTTGAAATTAGTGATCCTTTCCTAATAGGATTTGTATTTCTTAGAAATCAAGTTTTTCTCTCATCATAGTTTACGATAAATAAAAGTACACAAAATGAGAAATATACATCTCAAAAATTCCTCAATTATCCGCACCTCTTAGACAAAATATGCCACAACAATTTCTTCAGTTTAAACCCATTAACTATATTAATTAGCACCTCAATTTACTTTACATATTAGAGCGATGAGTCAGCTACTTTTGAGGGTCTGTAATTCAAAATTTTACATCATACCTATTTTGCCGCTTCGTGAGCAATGCATGGAAACGACGCCACATTAATGCTATATTATTAATTTCCCTTTTGAATAGTTTGGTTGAGAAATATAAAAGGGATTCTCTAAAAGTGAAATTATTTTGCACCTCATGTTTTTTGCACAATATTTTATAATGTTGGTACAAAAATTAACGTTAATTGTTAAGTGGCAGAGAGTCAAATCTCACTTGTTTGTGGAAAATTCACTCTTCTGGTGTTAGTAATTTAGTATACTAGAGTGATAAATAAAAAAGGGAATTGTTATTAGCACTAAAAAATTCTCATTTTTCACTCCAAACTTTCTATATTTAAAAAAAAAATACATATATAAGGAGTGCAAAATGAGATTTTTGAAGTGCCAATAATAGTTCTCATAAAATACACTCAATTTCTAAATGTTGCAGATGCCTCTCCTAAAATATTCAAAAATATATTTATCCAAAAAAACAGATGAGAGAATGATGTAAAGATCCCCATTTTAAACGTGCATTGCAAGTAAAATAATAAATAATTACACATACTCTCCAAACAGTACTATTAAAAGTAGCAAAGGATTTGATTAGATAAGGTGAAGGACCATGTATAACAACCAACTCAAGCATGTGAAATCCCTACATCTACTTGAAGAAAAACAAAATCATCTAAGCCATTGAATTCTGTTGAACCCTAAAAGGGCTTTTGTGTGTGCGTGTGCGTGTTTTCTTTTACTTTTCATCAACACGGACCACCAAAATCTTCATGGAAAGATAAGTTCGCGCTTCCTCGAATTTTTTTTTAAAGCCTTTATCTTAGCATCAAAACTTTCCATGGTCTCTTTCAACTCCGAAAGCTTTGAATCAAGATCTCTCATCTTATCCCTCATACAAACTTGCTCAACTTTACCTTCTAAATACCTCTTTGATTCCGCGGCCACTTCGTATTTGGAGGCCACGCTCAGACACCGCTTCAGTCTCGCGCGTAGAAATCCAACATCCATACCCAACAGCTCAAAGGCGTGTAAGGTCTTCTCCTGCATTACACAATCAGCACGGGAGGGGGGCAGCTTGCAAGCTCTAATGGCATTAGCGATGTTGGTGGTTTCGGTTATTATTTCAGCAGCCAACTTACTGTCAATACTTTTGAGGATATTGTCATGCAAAAATGAGCCTTGTGAGCAGCATAGATCATAATAGATAGTCCTGACCTGCGCGGAGAGTTGAGTATCTATAGTCACACCATTCACAAGAATGGGGAAATTATCAATTATTCTAACATCTTCAAAATCAGCTGCTGGTCCTTGAATTGTAATATCTGCCGCTAAGTTGGAGGTGAAGTCCTCACTGTCATCCTCAGATTGGTTGGCATCAAGCTCTGGATTAGTACCTAATTTCAAACTTTTCTTTTGAATGTTGACTTGTGAAACATCTCGTGGAGGAGTCATTAGATGTTTTTTCCCTGCATAACCTTTCACCAAGTTAATATTTCTGGTGCACATGCAATGATCTAATAATTTGTGAAGGAGCAAAGTAGAGAGAGAGAGAGAGTACCAAAAACCTCTTTGGTGGCACAGGATTTCATTTTCAAGAGGCTAAAAGCTGCATCTACTTCAGCTAGACTATGTCTTCCCATTATGTACACCTGTAACATTGTGTAGAGAGCACAGTAAACTAATCCGCAGCACGGTAGATGTCAAGAAGTTAGACCGATAAAACCACATGAAATGGCAGATACACTTCATCCTATGAAGAACAGCATAGTAAGTGGACATGAGGGTATTAAAAACCAAGATGTTCTTGTAAAATTTACGGAAAAAAAAAAAAAAAAACTATTTGCCAGGAAACAACAGTGACTACCTTAAACTTCAAGGGCCTGACCAAACGGAAAACTAAAAGGTTGCCGACAAGCAACTTGTTTGCAGTAGAAAACTTTTGCCATCCAGCACTGACTATCCTCCTTTCCCCAAGAAACGTCACTCTGTATTTTTCCCCACCTTCAACTTCGAGGGCTAATGTTGCATCATGCAATGGCAAATACAAATGGCAGAATTGCTTAGGCAGTGTCTGTCAAAAGAAAAATTAAGAACAAAAGCAGTTACACATTTGTCTAGGAATCCAAGTCCAGGCCTTCAAAACGTGGTGCTTCAGTTAAGAACTTAAAGAGTTATGACTCACCAAACAAAAGCAAGAGGAAACATTTGAACGTATCATAGACTTGACAAAGACGGGGTCAGCTCCAATATTTGCCTGGATGTCCTGAACTTGGTTTCTCGCAAAAGATATTTCATGATCCTTAAAAGAGTCGAAAATGGTTCTCTTCCGTTTACACCTAGTCAATCAATCAAAACATCTATGTTGTACACTTCAAGCACATAAGTGGTCAAGTTAATTAACGAAAACATTTCGACAAATATACCTACCCTCCATCTCCATGCTTCTGAGGATGACCAGGAACTTTCTGTCAAAATAATCATAACAACTTTCCATTTAGCTTTGTATTGATAATATGAGTCATGACATGCAGCAGAATACAAGTAAAATCACAAGGGCCGTGTCGGAAATCACAAAATCACGCTAATTCTACTGATTTGCAGAAAAAGTTCACTGGGGCAGTTTATCAAACATGTATCAAACAACAGATGGGCATGTTGTTGGCTGGCACAATTTTTGGGTTTCCCATATAATTGTTAAAAGCACCCAACTCAAAAAATCATAAGGAAATCAATGGAAACAAAAAACGTTCTCACTCGCTTGGTGATATGGGTCGGTCGTGAAGGACGTCTGCAGGTGCTGAGCACATTTTGCTTGGTCTCCAATGTCTGCTCCCTCTGCTCTACCTCTACCTGCAGTCGAACAGCCAGCATTCAGCAAATACATTCACAATCTAGAGAGAGAGAGAGAGAGAGAGAGAGAGAGAGAGAGAGAGAGGGAACCAAAGGTGGAGGTGAATGAAGGGATTTTGGGCGGCTGCGGAGACGAAACTGGGAAACGGTCAAGCTTTCTGCTTCGCCGTGGTCTTCGTCGTCTTCTTTTTCTTCTGGGAAATACTCAGAGTCGGCGACTTCTTCTTCTTCTTCCTTGACGTTCATGTCGAGTGTGAAGTTTTGGGGGTGTCTCCAGTCCAGCATCGCCGCCATGGCCATTGGCGTTTGACAAACACTCAGCCTGAGAGCTCTGCCACCCCTCTCGTCACTAGTCAGTCACTGCGTTTTACTTCTTGTCAAACACTCACCTCTTTATTCTCTAGCCATTTCAACAAATAAAAAAGGAAACAACAGCAAGTGGTGAGGGCACAGCCTCCGGTTTCCTACTAGACAAGAAAAATGTGGAAGGTTCTAGGTTTGATGATCCGAGTTGGTGAATCTGCTTGAGTGTGGCTACGGGCATATTGAAATTCTCCATAGCTTCTTCGAGCCCGAAACCAGTGAATAACCATGACTTGCCACTAGTTGTCCATTAAAAAAAAAAAAAAAAAAACTAAAGTGAATAAATGGATTCTCTTAGAAGGAGAGTAGAAATTAAAAAGTTGAGCTCACAAATCGCTTATCTTGTTAACAAGATTTTGCCACGTTATCAGTTATTTGTTAATGATAAACATTCAAAATAAGTTTCATTAAATATGTAATCGAAATATCAATTATCAATAATCAATAAAGCGTCAAAATTAAATAGTCGGTTCATCTAGCTATCTGGCGGTCCATATGCACTCAATTCACTCCCACTGGTGACGTTGTCTTGTCCAAGAAGGAACCTAATTATGGGTTGAGATTCATAATTTCACATTAATGATCTGCCAATACGGCCACTAAGCACCATTCTGGAAATGGGAAGGTTGAAATGACAAGTTTCTATGCATAAATACTCATAGACATTGCTAAATGCTTTCGACAAGTACTAAATAATCAACCATGTCAATAAATAATTCCTAGATTAAAGAAGAATGAGTAGAGAGTACCCGTGAAATTTTCTCGACGTGTTTGTCCTTTAAGAAATTGAGTCAAACCCAGATTCTCTCGTCTGTATCTAGTTTTTATTAGCTTATTCAGAAAAAAGTTACAGTTCATTTTCCTCCTACTAGCAGCGTATAAATCTTACAGTCATGATTCATCCAACATCTACTGTCATAGTTACTCCGTTCGCGGTCGCTTCGGACCGCGCTGCAGCTGACCTACAAACTATTATCTTATGCAAACCAACTTTGCACCTATCTCCTGGTGATATGTATCATCATCTATACATTTCGAAGCTACATCATATAGACAAAATCTATATTAAACATATAAAGGTTACGTTGTTATATACATGTGATTATCCTTCGTTCGATCTGTACACTTCGTTCCAGAGGACGAACGAGTTAGAATATGCATGCATTTATTCCGGATACCACCAAAGATGCCTGAAACGGCAGACCTCACCTCCAACATTTGCCTTTATTCTGGCTAACATTGTTGCATTGACGGCCAACCCATAAGAGAAATCATAATCTTGAGCGACGAAAGCTTTTGAGACCACGAGGAGGTGAATTCCTACGAGCAGAGGCAAATGGCTGCCCATTCAAAGACCCGCAAAATTTAATATCCCAACCCTCAACGTTCTTAGGGACACAAACATCAAACAGGACTTGGCCAAGTACACTATGTGCACTAATGCTTGGGGGACTGGGCAGAGAGACGGATCTTTCTTTTTGTTCATCTTGTAAAGACCCGGAGTCAGTACTATTTTGATTCTCAGCTGAACTTGGCAAGAAGAAGTGGTCGCTCGGCTCCACTGCAACTCTTCTAAGGCTCTGATTAGAGTTAACTGCTGCTTTCTGGAGATCACATATTAGTTCAGATATCTCATCTTGCATGCCTTCCATGCTAGTATTGTCACCTTCAAGTTCTTCAATTCTTTGAGAAAAAACCAAAGCAGCCTTTTCAAGAAAGTGAGTAACGGAAGACCTATACTGTATTGGATAATACTTATAATGACCTGAAATGAACATAAAATTGTGTGTGTTTAGTTCTTCTGTGCCACAAGCATTAAAGCAACCAAGCGATAAAAATGTGAAAAATTCTATGCGCTAGTTAAGTATCTATGCAGTGTTTTCCAATCTAGGAACGCGAAAGGAACTCAACTAACTCTATCTGCAATTCTGCAAGTTCATTTTACCAATGGTCATGTTGGACTTAAGGTCAGTACAAGGTCTAGATTCCCAAGTACCATAGATTGGGATGAAATGTACCACGGTACAAGACCGACTGAATCATGGCCTCCAACTAAGAGAATGAAAGTCCCCAAAATCTACTAACTAAACAAAGGTTTAACCATATCATCTGAACGCTTTTGCATCTATTTTTTTTACTTTCTATTTGTCCAAGATAAGATGGTGCCCACAAGGTTTTGGACAATTCCAACAAGACATTTATACTGTTCAAAGTGTTGCCTGTTGAAACGCGTTGACATGCCATAACTTCACCCAACAAAACCATGTAATTTCTTACAGATATCCAATAACCATTACGATTATGTTAAAGAACGGTGCTAAGCTATGCCTACTGGTTTCCCGATACCAAAACACATCGCTGATGAGCGATATAACTTTCATAGGTAGTGCACAATAAGGAAATCAAAACTACAGAACAGGATAAGGATAAAAGGAAATCAATTTTTTTTTATACAAACCTAGATGAGGGGAGCCATTCAATTTCACAAGCTTGACATCTCCTCCAAGTTCTTGTAAACGGTGAGTGAAATTGCAGATAATGTGATAGGGGGCCAGATCATCTTTATCAGAGCACAAAATGAGAAATGGCGCACCCAAACTCTATAGGAAAAAAATTAATTAGTCCATAAACTAATAGAAACAAGCAACAGACAGCTAAAGGTGAGTAAAGGCTGAATGAAAACTTACAACAGACGAAAAAAGAGCGTGCCAATACTCAGCACATTGGGATTCAAATCTAGTAAGGTACAACGCATCCAAACCAGAAGCAATGCCTTTAGCTACCCAAGAAACCAGTTTTGACGATCCAGGCATCTTTAGAATGGTTGGGTGTAGAGCATATTGAGTGCCCAGATCACTTGTAAAATCAACAGGACCAGAATCATAGATGTGTCCAGTAATACACTTTCTTACCAATCGATATTCAGCCTTCACAAAGTTAAAATAACCCATAAGAACAGAGTTCCAAAAATGACCATATGGGATCAAATGGGCATTATGAATAAAATACAGCACATGTTTTAACTGAAACTACGAAGAAAAGCATACCAGATAATGCTGACCGTCACAAATTCCGTCAAGAATCTGCAGTTACATTTAAAGTTATTACACAGTACAAACATTGAAATAAAATCAGAAAAGACCAGCTATGACTTCAACAATTCCAGAAATCAACTTATCAGTGCCAAATACAAAGTCGGGTATCCACTACTCACAAAACTTACCCGAAAAACCTTGTACATACAAGCTTTTGTACCAGCAGAAAGAGCCACAAAGACTACAGGACATGGCTTAACCCTTAGCTCCTGCATACCCAAAATATAAAAATAAATAACAGGACACTCCATAGAGTAAACTTGAGCAAAATTAAAAGCTATGTATGCCAAATTCATCCGGCATTAAAAACACTTTGAAATTGAAATGGGATGGGATGGGATTTTACACCATATAAGAGTTCGGTTCTTTCTCGCCATTAGGCGAGTAATACACATACACACACAACTAACCATACAGTCATTGGCCCGGGAATCGGATCATAGTTCCATATTAAATATATGCATCAAATCTAAAGAAGCAATGAATAAGAAATTGGCAAACTGGGAAGGAAGCTGACCTCAACAAGCTCATTGAGAATAACAAAGGCGAACGACATGGCCTTTTCGGGATAGAATCTACACAAAATTTCATCACCAGAGCAGAAAAATAAGCTCAAAATGCGGCAAAATCGAATAAAACTCCAATCTTTAAACCCATCCATGAATCATAAACCAAATATCCAAATGCAAGCAAATCCATGAGCGATTCAGCACAAAAAGAATTCTAAAAATACATCTCATGGATGTTACGTTCTGTTTGGGTGGTGAGAAAATGCGAGAAAAGAAAATCCACTCACGCATGGAGAAAATGGGAATGGCAAACGAGGGAATTCCAACCGAGAGACGAGTACAAATCCACGTAATTCTGCAAGTGCCTCTCGTGAATCGAAACCCAAGCGAAGATGACAACGATTCCTTTCGATTGAGAGACCTCCTCCTTCCGTCCCCAGTGGATTCCACCGCCGCCACCATCGCCTCCGCAACTACCACTAGCTCCGCCACCGCTCCACATAGATGCTGAGCTTCTTTGGGAGAATTTTGGGATTGAATCCTAGGGTTTTTGGTGTGGGTGGAATTGTGAGGTAGATGGGGAAATGGTGGTTGGATTGTAAGAGCCACTCGTGTACGTGCACGAAATCCTGAATTGAATTTCTGGAGAGAGAAACGATAATGGTGGCCGTGGTGGGGCTTCTGCTGGATCATGACTCCTATGCGGTCATCGTCATTGTGGGGCCACTGAGGAGAGGGATCTCTTAGATGGGGTCCACCGGGACACCTCTGACTGTACCACGCGCGTTTTAGGATAAGACCCTGCTCTTCAATTTGATTCTTGATCCGAGGGTCGGTAATGGAGCTAGAATTTAAATTTATAAGAGACGTGATAAAAGAGTTATTGTAACATTTTCTTAATTATTTTTTGAACTCAATGTACGATATCATTATCTATAATGTCACTATATGTGACAGTCCGTTTCGGATTATTCGTACCGTAGGTGTGAAATTATGATTTTGTCATTGGTGGGTATTTGTCATTTTGGATGGTTGTTTTGTTGTTTGGCTGGCTGCATATGGACCACACACCCTCATCCTCACCTCATTTCCCGTGTTTCCCTTTTTGTCTCGAACACTCCCTCTCTCTCTCTTTCTCTTCTTCTTCCTTTGTACGGACGAGACCCAAATCCCTTGCAAACGTCACTGATTGAGGTGGAAAATTATACCTTTGTGTTCGTGAGGACCATACGAGTTCAACCATACCAATTTCAGGTAAGGAATCTTTTGATTTCACGTCGAACCAGGAATCTCCGTTTTGGTCATTGTTCATGCACACATAAAATGTTGTTTTTCAGGGAATTTGAAGCTTATAGGAAGCTTAGTGAGGTCCTTAGGAAGCTCGAGATGGTTCGTTGGAAGGATTTAGACGTCGAGATTGTGAGTTGCAAGTTTGGCCGATTTTTTCTTGAATTTCTCCGGCGACATCATGTGATCTTTAAGGTTTCAAACAGGTATAATGTTGTTCTTCTCATCTCCAACTTTCCATTGGTGTAAATTTCATAGAAATTGGTGAAGAAACGAGTGAGAAATGAAGTTTTTAAGAATTTTCCAGTTTCCGGCAACTGGGGATTCGCCGGAGAAGATGACAGTATATTCCGTCAGTTTTGGACGGAATATGCTGACGCCGTCAATGTGCCTGGCACGTGGCCGTGCGTGGGGGGCGCGTAGGTCCGTGCACTCGCAGTCGCGTGGCGGCACGTGGAGCCTCGAAAAATTATTTTAAAATTATGGGGATGTTCGTGAGGTTGAGTAAAGGATTTTTCCATGATTGCTTTACCATTGACGAGGTTAACTAGGAAGGATGTTAAATTTGAGTGGGATGATAATTGTGAGCAAAGTTTCCAGCAATTGAAGTATTGTCTCACTCATGCACCTGTTTTGGCACTCCCGGATGATAGTGGTAATTTCGAAGTCTACAGTGATGCTTCCTTAAATGGTCTGGGATGTGTGTTTATGCAACATGGTAGGGTGATTGCTTATGCTTCACGACAATTAAAGCCTCATGAGTTGAATTACCCTACGCATGATTTGGAGTTAGCGGCCATTATCTTTGCTTTAAAGATGTGGAGACATTATCTTTATGGGGAAAAATGTAAGATCTTTATGGATCATAAGAGTCTTCAATATCTTTTCACTCAGAGGGATCTTAATCTTTGTCAGCGGAGATGGTTGGAACTGCTTGGTGATTATGATTGCATGATTGATTATCACCCTGGTCGTGCGAATGTGGTAGCTGATGCACTTAGCA